GAGGTAATGTCTTCCCAACCTCTGACAAAGAACAGGCTTGCTTCCACCTGCCATGAAAGTGAATTCCCAAAGCTCAGCGCTCCTTCCCTAGAGCACAACCCACTGCATATGCAGGAATCTATCTAGGCCCACCTGCGTCATCCCGGGGGAATTGGAGGACTTGAGAAACAGATGCAAACCAAATGAAGCTCATGCCATTTGCCATGCCATGAATAATAAAGTCCTTTGGCTCAGACCCAAGAGTCTTGTACCTCTGCCATCATCTAAGAAACAGTAACAGGCTAACTTATTAGCTTGCAAGTAGGGTACAATCCTAGACTTTCACAGTTCTTGACAATGAATAAATAAATAAATGGGGGAGAAGTGAAAGCCCACCCTTACAGTGGAATATCAAATAATAAATGTAGAAGAAATGATGGAGTTAGAACATCATTAATGGATATTAAAACTAGTGGGTGAGCCCTAGCTGGTTTGGCTCAGTGGATAGAGCATTGGCCTACAGACTGAAAGGTCCTGGGTTCGATTCCAGTCAAGGACACATGCCCGGGTTGTGGGCTCGATCCCCAGCAGGGGGCGTGCAGGAGGCAGCCAATCAATGATTCTCTCTCATCATTGATGTTTCTCTCCCTCTCCCTTCCTCTCTGAAACCAATATATATATATATATATATAACCTAGCGAGTGAAATTAGGAAAAGGATAATTTCATAGTAGTCTAAAAGTAATCTCCCCACAAATTACTTACTAATTACAAAGGGAAAATAGGGACTTTACAGTTGAGAAATCTGGCAGACACCACCTTAGGCAAGTGGTCAAAGTTATCATAACCAACACTGGGACAAAGAGACATCATGTTTCTCTTGGTATAATGTACTGAGAGAGACACAATTCTGTGGTATTCCCCCTAAAAATGTATGATCTGAACCTAATTATGAAGAAACATCAGACAAACCCAAAATAAGAGACATTCTACAAAATGACTGGCCTATACTCTTCAAAAATATCAATCAAAAAGGAAAAGTTGAGAAATTGCTCTAGATCAGTGATGGCAAACCTTTTGAGCTCGGCGTGTCAGCATTTTGAAAAACCCTAACTTAACTCTGGTGCCATGTCACATATAGAAATTTTTTGATATTTGCAACCATAGTAAAACAAAGACTTATATTTTTGTTATTTATTTTATATATTTAAATGCCATTTAATAAAGAAAAATCAACCAAAAAAATGAGTTTGTGTATCACCTCTGACATGTGTGTCATAGGTTCGCCATCACTGCTCTAGATCAAAAGAGATTATAGATACAGGACCACTGGATGATATGCATGATCCTGGATTGTATGATGAATCAGAATTTTAAAAAATAATTACAAAGGACATTTTTAGATGATATATTTGAATATGAACTATGAGTTTGCCAATAATACCTAATCAATGTTAACATTCCTGACTTTGAGAAATAACTGTTGTACACGGTTAGTGGGGATGTAAATTGGTATAACCATGACAGGAAACAGTATGTAGGTTCCTCAAAAAATTAAAAACATAGCTCCTATATGATTCAGCAATACCCTTTCTGGGTATATATCTAAAGGAAATGTAATCAGGATCTCAAAGAGATATCGGCACTCCCATGTTCACTGCAGCATGGTTTGCAATAGCCACGATATGAAAACAATTTAAGTGTCCATCTATGAATGGATAAGATGTAGTTTACATATATAATGAAGTATTATTCAGAAATGAGAAAAAAGTAAATCCTGCCATTACATAATCAAGATCATATATATATATTCATATATATATGTGTGTGTGTGTGTGTGTGTGTGTGTGTGTGTATATCCTATCTAATAAAAGACAAAAAGGGTAATTGACTGTACCTTCACTACACTTCCCATTGGCTAATCAGCACCATATACAAATTAAAGATGGCGGCTCATTTGCATACTGCAGGCAAGGCTGGCCAGCGCCAGACACCATCCAGGCCATGTGTGGCCCTGGGTGGCCGAGCTTAGGCAGTGCGATAGCGTCACCTAAGCCCCACCCTAGCCAGGACCCCCCGTGTGCCGCCTAAGCCCCACTGCCAGCTGGGACCCCATGGCGATCCCAGAGCAGGCAAGTGCAGAGGCCAGCCGGCCCCCAGGTGGGCCTGCTGCTGGAATGCCATGGCGATCCCAGAGCAGGCAAGTGTGGAGGGCGGCTGGCCCCAAGGTGGGCCTGCTGCTGGGAGGGCGGACGGCCCCCAATCGCCCCAGCCAGTGACACCACCACTCGGGGCAGCGTAAACCCCAATCCAAGGGCTGCCTTGGGCACGTTTCATAAACGAACTTAGCTCCCGAATTTAAGGAAAAGCTTAGTATAGAGAACACGGCAGGGGAGGGGGTGGGGACCGTATATTTGGGGAGATGGGACTCCAATGAGGTATACGCTGCGATGAAATATAGAAGAAAATGAGAGAAAGTGTCAACCTCTGAAGTCAAATGCAAGCCCGCGAGACAGGAGGCCCAAGCGGGAAGCTCCAGAATGGCCCTCCCCCGGGGAGGACACCTGAAAGAGAGAGAGAGAGAGAGAGAGATAAAGCTATAGAACAGGGAGCAGAGTGATTAAGAGTGGGACTCTACACTCACAGCATAAACCCAAATTCCAGCACCATCATTTATTACAGCCGTGGGCAAACTACGGCCCACAGGCCGGATCCGGCCCATTTGAAATGAATAAAACTAAAAAAAAAAAAGACCGTACCCTTTTATGTAATGATGTTTACTTTGAATTTATATTAGTTCACACAAACACTCCATCCATGCTTTTGTTCCGGCCTTCCGGTCCAGTTTAAGAACCCATTGTGGCCCTAGAGTCAAAAAGTTTGCCCACCCCTGATTTATTAGCTGCCTAATCTTAGACAAGGTGCTAAACTTCTCTGTACCTAAATTTCCTCATTTTTAAAATGCAGACAATAATAGTTTCTAATTCTTAAGATTCTTGTGAAGATTTCAAAGGTGAATACATGTGTAAATAGCTCAGCACATTTAGCATATGAGTTATTATTCCACTGTTTTTAGAAATGAACATCAAAAGAAAATGAGTATTTAACCTAAAAGATCATGAACTGAATACCAAATCTCTTGAGACTGAGGCCATGTTCTGTCCCCTAACAATAAAAAACAAGGAGAAAAACTGAGACCAAGGGGACCAACTCAGAGTGCTTAAACTAAAAATTTAAATGTAAATGAAACAAAATTCCCTTTTACAAGTAGATTATGATGTCAAAATATATTTAGAACAATGTACTAAAGAATGCTCTTTATATGAAAGTACCTTTGATTATGCTTGGTTTACAAATTAAGTTTATGTTCAATAGGTGAGATTCAGATATTTTTTAAAAGCATCCTTAATGGCTGTCTGGATTTCCATAAGAACTACCTAAACACATGGACTCTGCAAACATTTTTAAGAGTCATAGTTAACAGAATTTTATTTAGAATTAAGATACTGAAGGTAAGAAATCATAAATTCTGTCACTAATTAGGAGTTATAAACTCAAATGTCTATATAGGCCAGGCAATGGAAAAAGTCAAGCTAAATCAATAGGGAAGAACTGAGACCACAGTGGCAGGACCTGAAGAGCCCATCTGAAGACATTTAAGTTTTGTTTCTTTTTGTTTTAAACATCGTGCCGTATGTGTTTAGGCTGAGTTCAGCTCAGAGAGCACCTGTTTTGATCACTGAATTTCAGGTTTTAAGTTCTTAGGACCTTTATGCTATACTAGAGGCCTGGTGCACAAAATTCGTGCAAGAGTAAGCTCTCGCAGCCCTGGCAGCCTCACGCCCGCCCCCACCCCCCCACACACACACTGGTCATTCTGGAAGGTCATCCCAGAAGGTCATTCCGCCACCTGGTCTAATTAGCATATTAACTCTTTATTATATAGGATATTTGTGTGCAAACTTGTTTTATAAAAGATATTAATAAAATGGTATATTTCTGAGAATGAATACTCATGTACATCGAAAACATCAGGAAATGTTTCAATGGCACCCAAATCACATTATCAAAGTTATCTGTCCCACTTTGAACTCACAGTTACGATCTACTTTTACATGTCATAATATATAATCTTTAAGGTTCCTCATAACTCTGACATTTTAAGAATTTGTGATTGATGGAACAAAATTCCTTCATACTAGTAATTAATATGTACCTATGAAATAACTTATTATCAGAAACACTGAAAATTGCTGAATTCATTCACTGCTGAAAAGTTTGGCCTAAATATTTCTATTGAAAAGAAATACATTTAATTTGTATTTTTGACATGGTAATGATCCAGCCTTTATCCCACTGAAACACCTGCCAACCATGGCTTTAAAAATTTTAAATAAAGTAGCAACTCCACCTTTAGTAAATTCTTTATAAATGTTCTCCAGTAAGTACACTAGAAAAAGAGTCTTTTAAGTGAACAATATCCAATGCCCCCAAAGTCCAAAGTAATCTCTGCTTCCACTGGATTCCCTAGCACTTGGATGTTATTGTTTTATACGATCAATCACATTTCGGTATGTTTCATCTTCTCTAATATACTTGAAACCACATAAAGGCAGAAGCGTGTTATTCATAGTTTATTCCTATCAATAATCATTTTGTACTTGCACAGTAGGGGCTCAAAAAACAAACCAACCCCAAGAGATACCTACCATTTCTTAATAGTGATGAATTAATGTCAAACTCTTTCAAATTCTGAAATAAATTGAGTTTTTACATGGTTGAAATTATTGCTATGCTTTTTTAAAAGTCTCTACAATTCAGAGATGTTCTCAGTATCAGTAGCTGGTTATATTAATGTTTAAGTAATTGTATTTTTAGATAGATAAATATTGCAATAAATTTAGAATCTTTTGATTTGAGAAAGTAAATCTTTAAGAATGTTACTTAAGCGTATTTAAACAGTTATTTGAGAGAAAGATGATAAGTTTTTGGAAAGCATTATTTATAATCATTAAGTCTTACCTGAGTATGCCAACCTGGATCTAATTTTTTAACTGCTGCAATATACTCCTGCATTGCTTGGCTCGGGCTGGAATCACCAAGTGCTTTCCATGCTTCCCTAGAATATCCCAAACAATCAATCATTAAGTATGTAAGTAACACAAACAGCATGTTTCTTAAAAAATTGGCATACACATTTTACAGGCCTGGGAATACAGATATAATAAGCCATAGACGAGCCTCTCTTTTTGTATTTACTTTGGTCTACACCAGGGGTTCTCAACCTGTGGGTTGCGACCCCTTTGGGGGTTGAACGACCCTTTCACAGGGGTCGCCTAAGGCCATCGGAAAACACATATATAATTACATATTGTTTTTGTGATTAATCACTATGCTTTAATTATGTTCAATTTGTAACAATGAAAATACATCCTCCATATCAGGTATTTACATTACTATTCATAACTAGCAAAATTACAGTTATGAAGTAGCAACAAAAATAATTTTATGGTTGGGAGTCACCACATCATGAGGAACTGTATTAAAGGGTTGTGGCATTAGGAAGGTTGAGAACCACTGGTCAACACAGATCTCACCACACCTAAGGAACCTTTACACAATTTTTTCTAATCACCTTCTCCCATGAAATCTTAGTAGTCCAGATATACTGCATATCTGTTGAATGTTGTAAGACCAATAACCATTGTAATATCTAAGATTTTATAACTCCCCAAAACCAATTGTCACACCCCTGCTGAAAATGTCTGATCTGTATATAGACCAATACAAGCAGTTGCCATCTTATAACATAACTGTGCTTACAACATTTCGGTAACACGAAAACTAGTCATCACACAAAACAACTTTCCCTAGAAAAATGCCTCAAACTTCTTATTTGAGATGTAAAAAGTACACCTCACCCTTCTGCTGTTATCTAATCTGCTAGTCATGGATCCCAAGGCCTCCACAGAAACTTCACAAGTGAGGGCTGGTGAGGGAAGAGGTGAGAATACACCAATGGGTAAGAAGGTAGGGACTTCGTGCAGTATAAATACCAAGAGTAATATTTAAGCCCAGAGTAATATTTTCGTTTTCTTTTCTGCAGGCTGCCACAACAGGCTACTTCTTGGTTTTTCCCTGCCGATTCTACTTCCACCAGGAAGTAAACCTACTGATCCACTGTGAACCAGAACTCAGACACACATTTTCTTAACCACCTTCCTGCTCCTCTGATGAATAGAACACCTTTCTGAGATTCCTAAGTTTATTTTTACTGAATCTCTTGAGAGTTCCTTGTATATATCCTAACAGTTTACCCATAAATATATCAGCATATATCAAACTGAGGAAATTTAACATTAATACAATAAAATTTCCCTGATTTGCCAGTAATTTCCTTCATAGCTTTCTTCTAGACCAGGAGCCAATCAAGATTCATACACAGCACTGAGTTTCATGTATCTTTAGCCTTTCCTATCTTCCATGATATTGATATTTTTAAGAATCCAAACGTGCTGTTTTATAAAATCTCTCTCCAGTTGGACTTATCTGATTGTTCCCTCACCAAAGAGTGTTCATAGCAAAAGTAATTAATCATGATTAGAATCAGGTTAAATATTTTGTCAAGAGCAATACATGGGTGAGATGTCCTTTACAGTGCATTCCGTCAGAGGGCACAATATCAGATTGTCCCATCATCGGTGATAAGACTGAGGACTTGGTAAAAGCAGTATCTCCCGTTTTCTTCTTTGTAATTAATAAGTAAATTGTGGGTAAGTATGAATAAATATTGCCCCCCAATAGTTTTTCATCTCCTGGTTTTAGCATCCAATTTAGATTCTTGCCTGAATTATATTAGAGTGGTTGTAAAATCTAAACTTTGTAAAATTGTTTAAAAAAATTAAAACAGAGAAAAATAATGAAGTTATAAATTGTCATAAATTTTTTAAAAAGCACACCTCACAATTAAAAATTATGTCAAGTATTCTCTACAACAGTAATAACGTGCAGTGAGAGAACTACTCGTTATCACCAGCAAAGAAACCTTGGGCCGGAATGAAAATCAAAGCATGCGTCCTTCACTGAGATGTCCTACAGTGACCTACACACACAAACAGGTCAGCGGAACCAAGCAGTGTGCTTGATGCTGTAACTCAGTGGTTCTCAACCTTCTGGCCCTTTAAATACAGTTCCTCATGTTGTGACCCAACCATAAAATTACTTTTGTTGCTACTTCGTAACTGTAATGTTGCTACTGTTATGAATCATAATGTAAATATCTGATACGCAGGATGGTCGTAGGCCATCCTGTGAAAGGGTCGTTCGACTGCCAAAGGGGTCGCGACCCACAGGTTGAGAACCGTTGCCGTAACTGATTTACATTTGGCTTCAAGCTCCGCCTCTCCTTATGGCTGGGTAACGGACAGTTCAGACAGGCAACCTGTCCAGGAGACCACATTTTGAGCAGCACTGCTCTAGAAGGTAAAGTTACAATTCATGTTTAGCACTTCTCTCTACAACCATATTTCATTTTTTAAAAAACCCTACCCTCTATACATTTAATTCCAGGGCTAATGCTTCAAAGTTCTTCCTGCTATAACTAAGGTTCCCTATTGTATGCAATTCCTCTTTTTTTAAAAAAATATATTTTATTGATTTTTTACAGAGAGGAAGGGAGAGAGATAGTTAGAAACACCGATGAGAGAGAAACACCGATCAGCCGCCTCCTGCACATCTCCCACTGGGGATGTGCCTGCAACCAAGGCACATGCCCTTGACTGGAATCAAACCCGGGACCCTTCAGTCCGCAGGCCGACGCTCTATCCACTGAACCAAACTGGTTTCGGCGAATTCCTCTTTTTTCATTTAGACAAGGTAAGAGGAAATAAGGCTTCATATGCTAAGAGGAAACCTCTGAATTACAAGCAAAAAAACTGGGGAGGGTATAATCCTTTTACACATTCAGTAAAGAAGTGAATTAAGTAAGCATCTGGGTTTTTTCCCCCTTCTTCCCAAGAGGTTACGGTCAGCACTTCCTTCCTGTGTTGGTTGGGGCAAGGAACAGAAGAGCACTAGAGATGAGATAAAACAGGGTCAGGGAGAAGAGTAAGGACTGGGGGTGCACCTGCTCTTCTCAGAGAAAGAAGTGGGGACTGTATGACAGGAAAGGGAAATCTCCAGCAATAGCTCAAACGGTCATTCTCTAAGAAGCTATTCTTACGTAAGGAATGTATTTCTGCTGTGAACTACTTACATACCAACATTATGGCATATGAATCCTTTAGGAGACTTAGCTAAAATCGGATTCTTTTAATCTCTCTCTCAACTGCCTGCCCTTAGCAGTCTACGGCAGTGAGATCAATATAAAAATAATTCTTTAATCTGCTCATCCATTTCTAATTCCTAAACACCTAAACCATTTCCAACAACCCCAATAGAGTCCAATAATTTCTTACCATTTTTGCTTTCCTTCAAAATCAAAGAAGCCTGGTTTCGGAGTATTGCAATTTCCAACTTTGACCTAAATGAAGAAGGAGGAAATCAAGAACTTATTTTTCAAAGAAATGCCAGAGAAACTTTTTTATTTTCAAAGCTATTATGTGTACTTAGTAACTACCGGTTAGAAAATATCTGCATCTATATAGGATAACAAAATTTAACATTTTTGCAAAAGCAAACAAAAAAAACTTTAAATATAGGCTGGTTTTGCTTACTGCATAAAACAATTTATCTAATACTATAATACATTTAAAAATCTGGATGAAAGCCCTAGCTGGTTGGCTCAGTGGATAGAGCATCAGCCTGCAGACTGAAGGGTACCAGGTTCAATTCCGGTCAAGGGCATATGCCCGGGTTGCAGGCTCAATCCCCAGTAAGGGGCCTGCAGAGGCAGCCAATCTTGCACATCTCCCACTGGGGATGTGCCCGCAACCCAGGTACATGCCCTCGACCAGAATCGAACCTGGGACCTTTCAGTCCGCAGGCCGACGCTCTATCCACTGAGCCAAACCGGTTTCAGCTATATTTTTAAAAATAAGGGTGAAAAACAGTTACATTCCTAAGTTAATAGACAAATTATATATGACAAATTATAAATATAGATTATGCAATCCTAATTACTACTTATAATACAGAACAATTTTAAAGTTTGCAATAAACAAACTTTAAAGTACAATTATCACAATTCATAATATTGTTTATTTATACTGATGCTCATAACACTATAACATTTTATCTCTCCCAAATTCCAGGATAAAACACACTATTTTTAAAGTGCCCTATTATGAAACTAATCAATATAAATTTATTTTGGAAGCTGTGCAAAAAATGTCAAGGGTTTCTCAACAATATCAATTCTATCTATTCCATAATAATCTTTTCTGTTTGTGATCAATACTTACTTTTAATCCAGTTACAGTAATTAGCTTCATTGTGAATAAACATAAATGAAATTCACACAAGTGCAGAATTCACTATCCCTGATTCCTACCGCCAGAAGTGATCTCCCTTTCGGATAACCTCTCATAGCACTTATTCTGTATGATACAATCTATGACAGTATTTTTCACTTTTTGTGTTAGAAAGTTTTGTGTAAAGTCTCATCCTTCTATTAGAATACAGCCTGCAAGAAACCCAGGCACAGGGGACTGAATGCGTGTAAGTGATATAACTCAATCATTGCACCTAACATAGTGCCTAACTTAAGGTAAACATGCTTTTGACTATAGAATGAATAGTATTAAGCAGGTGTTCAACAAAACACCTACTTTCCCTAATGCTAAATATCCAATCTGATCCAAATCCACTTCTCAGGGATCTTCTCACTAACTCTTATTACTCTTCTACACTTGAATTTTGCTAAAATCAAAATGATGGTCTACTTGCTAACCAGACTGCTAACTCACTGCGCCTTATGGATTTTTGTTGAGTTTTGCTCAATGTAGTAATTCCCCTCACCACAAATGCCTTCCCTGGGCTTTCCAAAATGCTATACCTCCTACTCAAGGTTCAGATTCTAAGAACACTTTCAGTCCACAATGATCCCATCCATCTCTGAAATCATAACAATTATCATCCCTATCATTTGCTTAGCAATTTGTCACAATCTGATTGTTATTAAAATGTACACTTACACAGCAGCAGCCGTTATGAAGGGTCACAGAGGTAAGAGAGCAGCAGCTGCATTTGGTGTGCGAAAGCTCCACCCATGTTATATCAAACAAGCCACACAACAATCCCTTTAGGTTTGCCATTACAAACACCTTTTATAAATGAGTACAGAGCAGCTGAGGAGGGTTGTTGTGGTTTACACATTAGTAAATCCTAATCAGTAGTCAGGGTTTGAATCCAGGACTGTTTGACTCCACAGTCCAATATTCCTTTACTGTAACATTGTTATATATATCACACAGAATCTAGGCTTCAGTTCTGGCATCTCTGAAATCACCTGAACTACTGAAATGATAGAAATATGAAATGAGATGAACTATTGGACATTATAAGGATAGTTATTATTATTGTTGTTGTTTTTAACCAGACATCAGCCAGAGGCAGAAACAAAAGCTAAATCTATTCTCCATTTCTCCAACATTAATACAAGTCTCGGCCAGACACGTGGTCATCCATATAGCCATGCAACTCTTGCCTAGGCACAGGGAACTGAATGTGTGTAAAAATTATATAAATATCTTTCTTAAAAAAGAAAAAAAGGCTTGTCCTTCCCTTTCCCTTTGCCCGGGCTAAATCATGCGTGTTCTGATGGTGAGCTATCTCTGGCCATGGACAGAGGATCTTAGGCAGCCGTTCTCAAACTTTTCGATCTCATGATCCCTTTACACTCTTGGAAACTGAAGATCCCAAAGAGCTTTTGTTTATGTGGGTTATAGCTACTGATATTTAGAAGATCCCTGAGAAGTGGACTGGGGTCAGATTGGATATTTAGCATTAGGGAAAGTAGGTGTTTTGTTGAACACCTGCTTAAAACACATTTAAAAAAATGTATTAATTCACTTAAAAATAATAAACCCATATGTTAAGATAACAAAATTTTATAAAAAATAACCATCAGTCTAAAGCCAAAAAAAAAGTTTTTAATAAAAAAGGTGACACTGTTTTACATTTTGCAAATCTCTTTAATGTCTGCCTTAATATATTGTCAAAAATCTACTTCTGCATTCAATATACTGCAACATGTTGCTTTGGTTGAAGTATATGAAGAAAATTCAGCTTTGCACAGATATGCTCCTAGAAAAGAAAGGTATTTTAGCAGCATTTTCAGATAATTGTGAATATTGTTCTTTGATGCCACACCAAAACTCAGTTTCTTTAAGGTTAGTTGCAATCTGGAATCTGAAGTCAAATGAATAAAGTTTTCAGTTACATTAAAATCCATTGTTCTGACTTGCACTTTGAAAGGTTTTTATATTCACACATAACTTGTAACATTACTCCATGCAATATTTAGGAAACATGGTTACTAAGTTATGCAGACCTTCCAAATGTTGACACATTTAACCAGCTACATACGTACCATTCTAAATAATTTCATCTAGAAACTTTCTGAGGAAATACTATTCTTAACCACAAAAATGGGAAGAAAAAATAATTACAAACTGTTTTCATAACCAGCATCAAAAATACTATATAGAACCAAAATAAAAAAATTAGTCTGAAAAAGAAACGATTTTAACAAAAAAATTGTTGGGGAAGGGGTTAAAATCACCACTAATATCATAAAAGTGTTTCAGTATTAGGAAGCTGTCAAGCTCCTGTGGCAGATTTTCCAAATTCCTAATTTTCACTTAAAGGCTCAAATGTTTGCATTGACAACAAATACTGTCAGTTGTTTTCCATAAAGTGATAGGCTCACTTGAATCATTTTCAAGAAACTTTCTGCTAGATCAATGGTTCTCAACCTTGGCTGCACATTAGAATCACCTGGGAATCTTTAAAATCCTGATTTCTGGGCCTCATCCTCCGGCCCAGAAATTGTTTCTTTGTTACTAATGTTGTGGCCCCACCCCATAACAAAGAAACAGAATTTCTGGAGGATGAGGCTCAGAAATCAGGATTTTAAAGATTCCCAGGTGATTCTAATGTGCAGCCAAGGCTGAGAACCACTGTGCTAAATGCTCACATCTGAATAAGCATAGTTTACCTGTGAGTTGTTCTATTAAATAAAAGTGATGTTTAATTAAAAAGTGGATAGCTCAGTTTGCAACTCAAAAATTACATAAGTGGTTTTCCTCAAAATAGCCAACATAACTCAGTCTGCAGCAAGAGAGCTTTGTGTGAACCCCCATTTCACCACACACGATATTAAAGAGACTTATACTCAAGTTCATATTTAATAAAAACCAATAATTTATACTGTTTCAACAAGGACTTTTTAAATGAAACTGGCATTTTTTTTTTTTTTACTCTGAGTGCATGGTGGCAAAGAAATATGACTACTAGTACTATTTACTGCCAGTGTCTTCATTCATTCTAATGCATCAGCAGTTTTATCCACCATGACAGCACAGAAAGAAGGCAAATAGTGTTTTAGTATTATTATGAAAATAGTATGATCTTACAGATCCCCTGAGAAAATCTTAGGCATTCTCTGGGGTCTACAGACCATAATTTGAGAACTGCTGCCTTGGGGAACGGCTGAGCTACAAGATAGAAAAAGACCAAGCCCCTGGATGATCTCATGAGGCAGAACCACCCTACCAGTCCTAGATCAACTACCTCCAGACCATTATGTGAGCTGAAAATAAAAGTCCAGCAGCTGCCCTGTATCCCAACTGACACAGAGCTTTTGTATCCAAAAATTCAGTTCTGGATCCAGAAAAGACTGAGAAAATAAAACTACAGGATTTTAGGACACTATGAGCAGCAGTTTCCAAATCATTAGATAATGAATCATAAACTATAGAGTTATAAAACATACCACTTTAACAGAGCATCTAAACTGTTTTCTCTGATATATATGACATATCCAGTGCCCTTGAAACAGAATATTTCAACAAAGGCTGCCAATGGCGAATGCCAGTGAATCAAGTGTACTCAGGTTAAAGTAGGAGGACATGAGTAGCCCATCTTGTACTAGTGCTGAAGGCTCCTGAACAATGAAGCCAAAAGGAATTTGAAATTTTTATTGTCCTATTGTTTTTATAGGTGTCAATTAGTTATCTTTTGCTGGGAGAATGTAGGCTAGTGCACACACAAAAAAACCCCCAAAACACGTTGTTAATTGGTGTGACCTTTTTGGAATGTCACGAAAAGATGATTTTGGAGCCATAAGCGTATTTGAAACTATAAGAGCTATTAGGTAAGTTTAAAGCTATACCTGAGAAAAAAAGGTTCATACCTTTGCTCATTTT